AAGTTCTAGGCAAAGAATCAACTATTACAACCAGGTTAAAGAGATCAGTATTATTCATAGCAAAGTGTGCCCTAGAGAGAAACATCTAGTCTACTTTCACTTATTCTAACATACATTTTACATGCTTATTTATACTTTATATGTATTATGCATGGTTGCTTACATTTTATACCACCGGCTTGCAGGTGTCTGCTAAACCCAGAGTGTACCGGGTCCCCTGAAGTGGAGTTCGAGGTGGTTGAGAAGGGCTTATGTGAATGGATCCCAAGTCCTTTGCAAATGCGGGAAAGCCGTAACTTCTGAGCTAAGTTTCTCACCTCTCACCCATTTTAGCAAGGAGTTATCTATTCTTGCTGGCAAGGTTCATGATGACAAGATACGAAATACTTAGGAAATAGCAACTTTTAACAGATAACTTCAAAATTCACAATCAAAACAGCTAAAAAATTTCATTTAAGAAAATGCACCATAAAACCTGAAATAATTCATGTGAAACTATTAACTAATCAGGAACGTTTTACTTGTCTGATCTGCGATCTTCTAATCAGCTCGGACAAAGATTCCTGGAATAAATACCATCTTCCTAAGAATGAGGAAACCATTTACTAACCAGTCTGTCCACTCAAGGGGCTTCCAATCCCTCCTGCCCAAAGCCAGGAAGCAAGTGTCTCGGTGCAGTCTCTGGGTCAGAACAGACAAGTCCACTCCCTACTGAGACATTTAAACCAGATTGCAAATACTTGCTTCAATGTATCTGCTGTAATGGTCTCAATAGGGGTCCCCAAGTGGAAACTGTTTTATTCTCTTGGATAAGGGTATTAAGATTTCTTGCATTTTGGGCCAATTTTAGGAAAATATTCTTACTGCTTTAACAAAATCCAATACTGTTAAAAAAAAAAACCATGTAATTCCAACATTTCAAAGACTTTCTAGAACTGCTGCATGGAAATGGAAATTGAGCTACAATACTACTTCTTGAAACCTACTTTAAAAAAATATAAAAGCCCAGACTTTTCCAAAACCTTTCCTAAACCTTAAGGCACAAGGGAAGAGATAACTGGATTGATAAGAAACCCTCAAAACACTTCATTAAAATCCCTCCAATTCTTACAATTCTCTACAAGAAAAGAAAAGAAAGAAATGACAGTACTTTGAATTTCTAGTATTGACAACTATGGTTCAGAATCTCATGGTTAAAATTCAAACTCATTACACACTATGAAGTTTTGCCAGTCACAAGCAAAACCCATGACCAAGAAAAAGAAGCATTAGTCATGGCTTTTCCTGGAAACAGTGGAGCTGACATCCACTACAGAAGACACGGCTTAAAGGTCTTGAGTTCAATCCCCAGAGCAGCAAACAGGCAAAAAAAAAAAAAAATATATATATATATATATATATAATCCAATTAAAAAAAGAATTCTAAATTTGCAACAATGACCATATGACCTTTGAAAAGCTAATAAGCAAACACTACAAACTGACTAATTAATAGCTATAGCTCTATTATTCCTGGCTTTAGAACAGAAAAATCATTTTCAGAGAGAAGAAACTGCCCCATGCCTGAACCTGAATGAAGCCTGTCTCCAGCCAATCGAGCCAAATCCTAAAACCGAACTAGCGGGATGTTCGGAAGCTTTTATAGAACTACACACCGAGGCTGGGCACGGCAGCACATTCTAGTAATCTCAGCACTTAGACTGTGAATTCCAGGCCAGCCTAAGCTATGCTGTGAGCCCCTGCCTCAAACAATGAGTTACGTAGCAACAGTACCCGCAATTTCAGCTATGAAAAGTGCAGGATGTTTACAGTTTAGTGGGCCAGGCAGTTTCCCTGGTTTCTATTCCGTCACTGCTGCAAAGCTACCTTCTCCAGAACTTAGAGCTGCCAGAATAGTAGTAGCCCTAAATTCAGTCTGCGGTGGCTCCTGGACCCACTGCAGTTACTGACAAGTCAAGCAGATACAAGCTCTGCAAGCCAAGAGTGGGATGTCTGACAGACAGGTACCAGGTCCCCCACAGGCAATCTGAAAAACACAGCAGAGCTAGTGTGGTACAGATGAAACAGAGGCACATTAGTGTAATTTAAACAGACACAGAGACTGAGCTAATACATCCCATAATTTGAAGTAAGTGGAAATAGGACCACACCAGGGAGAGCGAGGCACATTTTTACTGAGCATTTTCAGACTATTTGATGTTTATCTTTACAAAATACTGTAAGGTAAGGAAGGCCAGTATAAACTTCCTACAAACTTTCAGACACTAAAGCCCTGGAAAACTTACCGAATGGAAGAGCTGTGGCTTGTCTTACTAAAAGTTTTGTGATGCTTTCCTTTAATTACATAGTTGTGACTCTATGATCCCGAATCTGTTCTAACTGATAACAGTATGTGGAATTCACACAGCTCCTAGCATTTGTACTAAAATAAGGACAGTCCTTTTCATGACAATGAAAGTATTCAAAAAGAAAACTGAGCAGGGAAAACATCAAATACCACTTTTTAATCCAACACATCCAGTCTTCACGAGGATAATCACTGGTAGTTGCAAACGGCTATCACTTACTTCAAAGTACGGCATCCAAGTAAGTACACCACACAGCAAAGCCACTGACAAATTATTCCCCTTCCGACAACAGCAGACACATGGTTACACTACACAAAAACATCTATGGAGTAGTATAGAAAAGCCATGACTTATTGGGAAGCTGAGGCAGGACAGCTACCACACTGCATAGCAAGTTCCTGTCCTGTCAGGGCACAGGGTAAAATGAACAAGCTGGGCATGGAGCTGAGTGACTTTAAACGCAGCACTCAGGAGGAAGAGGCAGGCATAACTCTGAGTTCAAGGCTAGCCTGGTCTACACAGGGAGTTCCAGGATTGCCAGGGCTACAAAGAGAGTCCCTTTTCTCAAACAAACAAAAACCAACTACCCAACAACCAACCAATAAAAAACAAAACTGTGAGCTACAAAGATTTTAAAGAGTACACTCTGTCAGATGACTGGCTGGCTCTTCCTCCTGCAGGGAAAGAGGTTGTTGAACACTACTAACATCCTTAAAGATTGTGACATAAAGTAAAAACCATTGCACAATAAGCCTTAGCTTTTTAGGCACCACCTTAATAGCGAAACAAAAACTCAGAAAGCAATCCCTTCTATTGCACAAGAGCGGAGAGCTCACCTGCGCACCTGAAAGGGAAGGCAGGAAGGAAAGCAAGCAGAGCCGCACTTCCGATTTTGCTGGGGCTCTGCTTCCTGACACATGAGTCAAGAAAAGTGGAGCCAACGAATCTCGAGATGCTCTGCTTTAAACGCTCTGCGGATATTGCTGATCTTGCTTAAGGTTTAAAAGAAAGGCAAAGTTTCCCTGTGATGTCAAAAAGTAGAATGATGTGTTCTAGATGTTACTAGTTTCAAGCCTAAATATTTTACATTCCATTTCTTTTTAACAACCCAATAAACCTGAAGTTAATTTAACACAGGATCTAATTTTCTCACAGGGCAACTGCCAGTATTATTCCATTCTTTCGTTCAAATAGTGTACATCAACTAACCTTCATTATGCACCACTTTAGAGGGTATCATGAAACTTTAATAATAAAAATTGAGATGTTAATATTTTACCCAGAACCATTTAAAATTGATTAGAATAAAAATGTGGCAAAATAGTAAAAGATGATACTTAAATTCAGTTAGTTGTTTGCTTAAGTACAGTATTCCAACTCCTGGCAAACTATATTAAAAATCTACCCACTGAACTAACTACTGGGACAAGTTGAATTGCAAATTACAGAATTTACAGAGCACTTCCTAGGTCAGACACTGTGAGCCTGGGGTCGCAAAGAGGGCACCTTAAGCATGTCCAGCAACGCCTCAGTCAGCAGGACAGACTCAACCACTGGTCAAGCACTTGCGGATGGTGGAACAACACTACTCATAGGCTGAAGGGCTTTACGGCATGAGCCATGGAGTATTCCATGCTCTCAGGGCTGACACTGAATGATTACATGCAAACAGACTATTGTACCCTTACAACATCCTTTCTAGAAGTCACACAATGTCTGTGGGTTCTGCCCAGAGCAAAGCAAGCGTTTCAAATGCAATTCATAAGAATCTAATTATTCCCGGGTATAAATCTGTCGATTTTTGCAATGTTTCCTTTTGCTCCTACGAGCCCCTAACAGGCATTCTCTAATTCTAACAATTATTCTTACAAAAAAAAAAAACAATGCCTAAAAGGCTCATCTCAGCAATCCAGTCTCCAATGTGTTTTCTTCCTTCCCCATGCTGCAGTGTTATCACATGACCCACTGACAGCTCAGGACAGGATTAGTCAGGTTGGAGGGCGCCCTGCTAAAACCCTTCATCTGAAATTCTTTTTAACCAATGGGCCACCCGCAGAGCCAGGCTGGCAATTAACCAGGGCGAATGCAAGCTGATTACCTGGAAAACAACAGGCACCTTTTAAAGAAGGCTCTTCCCAAAGCCTTCTCCCTCGTTTCAAGGGAACCGTGAAGAGGTTTTTGATGCTATACAACTGAAATCTTCAGCCAACAAGAGCCGTATCTTTGGGAAAGACTGACTTGTCTACTTAAACGTGGTCTAGGGTCTTTTTTTATAATCGCTACACTCAAGCCTATGCACATAACGCTAGACGTGGGGGGAAAGCTTTTCGTCTTAGCCAAGGAACCTTTTCCAGCCAACTACTTGGTTAACTAGTCAGCAAACGAGGAAACGACAGAAGACCAAGCAAGGATTAAGAAACCTCGACTTTTGCTTCCTCCTTTGCCAATAATTAGATGTCTGAAGCCTGGCAGGGTCTCTCCTTTGCAGAACCTTAGGCGTCTCGGTTGACTAGGGTACTTTTCAGCTCCGAGGCTCTCAGGTATCTAGGTGTCCTCCTGCGAAGCGGTCCCCACAGAATAAGCCACACGTCCTTCTGGCCGCGGGCCTGCCCACGTCAGCGATGACACTACACCTCCTGCTAAGTCCACCTGCCCAGAGGTCCTCGGGGACAGAGGACAAGGGAGTGGGCGGTCCCTCGACCCCGAAGACATTAAACCAGGTCAGGGGTAGATGACGCTCCGAGTGACAAGAAGTGGCCCTCAGCGACTGACAATCTCCAGCCCGGGGAACTCGGAGAGGGTGGGGCAATCGCCAGGAGCCCACCAGCCCTCGGGGAAGATTCCAGTGGGCGCTCTCTCCCTCGGCCCACTTTAGTCACGGAAACGCTCGCGCAGAGCTGGAGAGGTGCGTGCGGACTGTGCGATGCGGGGAATAACCCCATCCCTCCCCGCTGGCGGAACAGGTGAGCACAAGGCTAGGCGGACACGCTCCCTTTCCCGTACTCACTGAGACGAGGCTGGGAGAGGTAGTTCCGGCTCGCTGCCAGCGCCTGCTCCCGAGCTCCGGCCATCGGCTCACTGGTAGGCACGGGCAGCTCGGGCGCGGCCCCGTTCACGATTCCCCGCATCGCTCGCAACGCCATCTTGTCTCCTCCGTCCCGACTGGCCCCGCAGCGGCGCGGCGCAGGCGCAGATATAGCAGGGAGGCCCGTGCGGCCGGCTCCGCCCATGCGCGCTGCGAGGCTGCGGCAGAGGCCCCGCCCTCCCGGCTGCGCCCCGCCCCCGGCCTCGTGACTCTAGCTCTGCGGGGGTGGCGCAGGGTGCGTGCGCGTGCTCGCCTGCGATAAGGGAGCTGACCAGAGTGCTGGGAGCGCGGGGGACGGGGACCCGGGCGGGAAAAGAAGCCAAGGGGGCCAGAAAGGCAGGATGGACGCAAAAGAGAGAACACACACACATACACACACATACACACATACACACACATATACACATACACCACACACATACACACACATACACACAGACACATATACACACACACCACACACACAGACAGACACACATATACCACACACACACCACACACACACATATATACACACATACACATACACACATACACACAGACAGACACACAACACACAACACACACACAGACACACATATACCACTCACACACACACACCACACACATCACACACATACCACACACACACACACACACACACACACACACACACAAAGATTCATGAATTCATGAGAAAGAGGAGTAGGAAAACATGCACAAGAAAATACCCATACAACTGATCTCTGTTGTCAGACTACGAAAACCACCTATCATAATTTATTTCCGTTTTTCCTCCTACCCATTCATTCTCTCAGGGATCCGTTCAACAGACCTTGGCTTGCTTGCATATCCGTGTGGAGGACCATAAGAACAGACTTGAAAACCAGTTAAGGCGGTGGAACTCATATAGAGTGTCACAGTTTGTTTTCTGTCGTTGTGATGAAATCAGCTAGCTTTGGGCCTGGTGTGGCAGTGTATGCCTTTAGTCCCAGCACTCAGGAGGCAGAGAAAGGAATGTCTGAGTTCCAGGGTGGTCTGGTCTACATAATGACGTCTAGGACAGCCAGAGTTACATAGTGAGACCATATTCAGGAGGTAAAGAAAGAAATACAAAGCAAACAGAAAACCCAGCAGGCTGTGGGAAACTTACAACCCAGTGAGTGGACCGTGGTTCTGCTCCCAATCCAAGAACAGAGAAGGAAGACAGGGTTTTGTTGTGATAGGGTAAAGCAAGGAAAAACTGCTTTCCTTGGGTAACTGTTAGGTCTCCATAGATTGTTGATAAATACACAAGAAGATATCTAGACTGATTTGTAATTTATCATTAATTTGGGGACGTGGGGGCACAAGAATGAAAGCTGAGACTATGTGTAGAGGGGAGAGACGTTGAAGGAATCTTTAGGATTAGGGGATTGATTAGACGCTCGGCTTTCATGTTCAATAAGCCAAAAGAAGAGGAAAATTTGGCCTCATCGAGACTGTTGCCAAAAGCATAAGAGAAAGCTAATAACAGGAGGACTACAGAGTTCAGTTCCTCTGGACTTGAGAAGACCACTATGAAGGGGACATAGTGGGACACAGTAGTAGCCCCAACACTTGGGAGGTAGAAGCATGAACCCAGCTGTTTAAGCTTACGCTTGGTCATTTTCAGTTACATGGGAGTGTGAGGAAGACCTGTACTACATGAGATCCTGTCTCAAGCCAACTATAAATAGGCACTTGATTGTGAAAAGTAATCCCCCCTTTTTTTTCAAACCTGTAAGCAGGGTTAAGAGCTGAACTGTATATGATGGTGATGTGCAGGTTCCAAACTCTGAAATGCTAGAAAATTCAAAAACTTTGAGTGCCAATATGATGCCACAGATGGGAAATTTGGCATGGAACTTTGCCTCATTCACAAAATTACTGTACTGTTATAAAATTCCCTCTGGGCTATACATGTGAGGTGTGTATGGACTATAAATGAGTTGTTCTTTTTGTTTGTTTATTTGGTTGTTTTTTTTTTTTTTTGGTTTTTCGAGACAGGGTTTCTCTGTGGCTTTGGAGGCTGTCCTTATAAATGAGTTTTATCTCTAGATTTTGATCCTTTATACAAGACAAACCATTATGTAAATGCAAATATTCCAAAATGAAAACATACATTTGCTATCTAAAGCACTCCTGGTCCCAAGCATTTCAGCTACAAGTTGGTCAATTGGTGTTATGAAATAAAAGTTCCTGGGTTGTTTGAAGTCTACTTTGAGTGCATCTCATTTCTAAACACAACAATCCTTCAATCCTTCTCCAGTTTTAAAAGAGGTAAAGACTGCAAGCAGTAAGTTCTATATATTTCCTTTAAACTTTGTATTATTTGTGAATTCTATGCATGCATATTGTAGGAGAAACTGCTGGCCGGCCTACCCAAGCCACAGTCGCCCTGCCCAGGTGCCCAGGTCAGCCTGCATGAGCATGTGCGGCAGGCACTTCCTTCCTGAGCCAAGCCTGCCTCTATGCCCAGTGACCCAGAGACACCAACGAGGAAAGGATAATGCAGCAGAGTCAGCCCCCTGAGCCAGTAGGACCTTGGGAGGGGTATAAAGGTGAATCTAACTTCCTTAATAAACGAGTCTGCCACAAGCCCTACTACTTCCTGACTCCCTGTGCCTTAGTCTTTGGTACTGCGGCTTCTCATCCCCTTCCCCAAGAGGTGTCCGAGTAGGGTCTCCCGCAAAAGCATATAATACAATTTGATCAAACCTCCTCCCCCAACTCTCTCTCCTCCAATTCTCATCCCATCTGCTGCCATTCTATCGCTCTCAAATTCACACACACACACACACACACACGCACTGTTTTAAAGCCTACTGAACCCACTTTGTACTGCCTGTGTGCGAAGGGGTTAGGATCATCTACATGGATGGCTTCTCAGTGACCACACTTCCGAACAAAATTGACTCCCCCTTCCTTTAGCAGCCATCAGTTGCCAATAGTTCCTCAGGGTGGGGTAAATCATCTGCTGCTTCCCCATCTGTGCTGGGTTAGGGTTGGCTTGATCTTGTGTAGGCCTTAAGCATGCAAGTCTATATATTTCTTAGCTGAGATTACTCATGAACTTTTACTGATTGACAAGCCTTTACACATTAATTACTATGTGCTAGACCAGTGGTTCTCAACCTTCCTAATGCTGCGACCCTTCAATACAGGTTCTCATGTTGTAGGGACCCTCAACCATAAAATTATTTTTGCTGTTACTTCCTAACTGTAATTTTGCTACTGTTATGAATCATAATGTAAATATCTCATATGCAACTATCTGATGTAAATGACCCACATGTTGAGAACCACTGTGTTAAGTTCTCTTCTGAGAACTAAATGACATGTCACTCTACTAAACAGCTATTTTCTTGTGTCTTTTATCTGAAGCACCTAAGGAGTTAATTTGCAGTTCGTACTTAATACGTATCTATGAGATGAATGAAACATGTCACGCCTTTGTTCTTCTACACGGAGTGTTTTTAAGGTACCCTTCCCTTACACCCAAGGAATGCAAGAGTAGCTGGCCCAGGTGTAGAGAATGTGGTCAGAGCATGAGACTCAGAGTCAGCAAGCCTGCTCTCAATGCCGACAGTCCCTTTGAATACACAATGTGATCTTGGGACAGATCTCAGTTCCTTCTATCTCTCTCTTGCCATCTGTGAATAGGGAATATTTTATGCTATGCATATCTTTTAAGAATTTGTTCATTTAGTTTTTTGAAACAGTTTCTTATAGACCCAGCTGACCTCAAACTTGCTATGGGACTATGTAACGAGCCCGGCTTTGAACTCCTTATGCTCCTGTCTCTATCGCCCAATCTGGTATTCTGAGCATGGGCCTCTAGGCCTGGTTTTCTTAAGGATTTAAAATTAGGCTCATAGCACTCAAGAACCCTGGGAGGAATGTGAATCGTATTTTATTACACATATTTATTGAGGAAGAAAAATGAGGAAGGACAGGCAAGAAGAGCTCATGCTAGTGACTTAATTTTCCCCAGACAATGTGAATCTTTCTTGTTTTCTGGAAAATACTACTCAAGGGAAATAGTGTGTAAAAAATGGAATAAAGCAACATAAAATTATCAGCATAAAAAGTTCAACATAAAGTCAGAGAGAAGATAGATTTTAAAATGATTTCTTTGTTGTTGGGTTTACTTCTCCTCCTCTTCTATGTGAAATAGTGAGATTTAGAGGCTGGGAATGACTTTGACCTGAAGATTGAGATCTCTGGTTCTATTTCATATTTCTTTCATTATCACGAGGGTCACAAATGTGTTGTGAAAAAGGGAGGAACAGCAGAGGGCCCCCTATTATCACAACAATGAGTATTGAGAGAGAGTGGTGAATTGTTTAAACACAAATCTCAAAGGGAGGATGGCTGGAATCCCCTTGCTGGGTGGTGTTGCACTAAAGTCTGGTAGCGGAAGTGCATGCCCTAGAAACTCGGATGCTGTTTGTCAAGGCTCCTCGTTCCTTGGTTTGATAAATGCTGATATGTCTGTTTGATGGAATATTACAGACACTAATGGAGATAGAATCCTATTTTAAGCATTGAGGAAAAAGTCACAGTACACTATTGGTTAGAATCTAATATATATCAAATATTTTGTATTATGGATACATGAATACACAAGTCCAGAAAATATTCTAAAGGAATACGTAATAAGTTGACAGTGATTATTTCCGAATTATAGAATGTGATCCTCCTCTTCCTCTTTCTTCCTTTTCTGACTTAAAAAAACTTTTTAAAAATTTATTTTCTGTGTCTTTCACATCATGTTTCCCGATCTCACCCATCTCTCTCCCTCCCCCCGAAATAAAACAAAATAGATTTTAAGAGAAGAAGGTGGAAAAGGAAGGAGAATCTTCTAATCCCATCATG